GTAGTTTGGTTGTTTTCAATCATTCTCCGTGGTACATGTTGTGCGACCCCCCCCCCTCCTTCCTTCACTGTCGACCCCATGCTCCGACCAACTTTCGTCTGCCATAGGGAGATAGTTGTAAAGGTTACGTCAACACACCTTCGACCGCTTGTTACCGGCCGCCGTGGCACCCATAGTCTACCATGTCTAGAAATCACCGGGGCGATGTTTCCTAAAGCGATCACCAATACAGCTCACACCGTCGTGCTGGGTGCTGTATTTGTAGTATTGTCGCGTTCGCCCTACACCACACAACTATGGAGTATTGTGGCGAGCGAGCACTGTTTTGTACAACGAATCGCCATAACATGAGGTTAGCTTCGGAAACTCTGTACTTAGATGGCACCCCCTCCAGCTAATCGCCCCCCCTCGCTCGACTTCGCATTTTCGCCTAGCAGGGGGACTTGTGCGGACGGAAATCATGGCCATACTCCCCTCGGTGCCGACTGCGGCCTGCCTCTTCCTTTCCGTCCTCGCGTGCTGGCCGGCCTTCGTGCGGGCGTGGAAGACTCCCTCCGCACAAGTGTTTGCCTGGGGAGTGGTGAGCCGGCGCCCTCGTTTTGCTCCATGCGGGGGACTGGGTGTTGTCGGGTGTTGTCGGTGATTCGTCGCAGGAGTCGGCCATTTCCAGTATTCCCCAAGTTGTTATGGCTCGTCTCCTTCCGTTGGACGGCACAGCTACACCTCCAAGGCTAGATCGCACCGAAATATTGCCTCTGGCGACGCCTGCCTACCCCTACACACGATTGGATACGCGTCGCGGCGTTGCTGTTGTCACCAAAAGGATCGCGGATGCCTGAATCCGTACCTGCCGAACCAGTGCGGCCAATATCTCCGCCATGGCGTCATGCCAAAGCTCTTGTCGTGACGGTGCAGCAAGAAGATTGACTAAGTAGTTCGTTAGGGTGAGTTCGGCCCCCGTTCCACCAGAAACGCCCTAAATGGGCCATGCTTTACAGCAGAACTTGCTGAGGCTGCGAGCGGCACTATGTGTACACATCGAGCATGCGGCTCACTTGCGCATTTTGAACCGGTAGAGCTATCGATTGAAGCCGCTTCTTTGTTTTCATACCCGGTATCCGACACGTGCTTGAATCTGGAGATGAGCGAGCCCTAAGCCCTAATATCGCTCCGTTTTCTGCTGGCATCCACAAATCTTCATGTTCAAAGCCGTCGTCCCTTTGGCGCTGCGTATGCGAACCATAAGTGTCATTCCTACCTTTTTTTTTGCTCTTGCTCACACTATGCACATGTTAAAGCACACCCACCATTTACACGTATTCCACCAGGTGCACTGCTCGCTGAGCGCGTTTCTCGTGGGTTTCCATGTGCACGAGAAGGCGCTACTAGTCCCCGCTGTCGTTTCGGCCCTGTTAGCGTCTCACTCCAGGGCCGGTGCAAGGATGTACCTTCGGCTGTCCTTCCTAGCGGCCTTTGCGGTGTTCCCTCTTCTGCCCGGCCCCGAGCTCAGGGTGCTCAAGGTACTCACGGAGTCTAGTAGCGCTTACTCATCGCCGATCAAGGAGACAACAATTGGACGGGGAGCGACTGCTGTACTGTAATTTTTTCTACCGTTCCTTTTCGGGCATACGTAAAACACAGCTTGCGCTTTGTGGTTTTTCCGGGTTAGAGGGCAATAAAGGCGAGCCTGAAGTACCAAAGTGGAAGTACATTTTTTGCAACAAAACCTGAAGCACCAGTCTTGCCGCCCTGGCCTGAGTTGGCAACCAACTGTTTATCCGAGCATGCGCAAACGTCCGCTACGCACTCACTCACCACCGCCTGCCGAAACAAACAGGTCGTGCTCTTGATCACGCACCTGATGCTGGCGACTTCTCTATTGGAGCACCGTCATGCCGAAAACATCAAGTATGAGGGAATGGCGCCTACGCACTCCCGTGTTTCCGAGAGAATTCTTGCCGACCATTCCTCGGAAAGGTCTCCCTCCTCGGCTCCTGGGGAACCGTCCAGGAAAGCGAGTGGTAGCGTGACAGAACTTGTTGGTCTAGCTCCAGAGCAACGAGCCGGTGCTGGTGTGGGACGTGTTTCGACAGGGGGAAAGTGTGCACCAGCCCCTTGTTTGTGGACGGGTTGGGACAAGGCCTATGTTGCCGGGGCTGGAGTTATTTTTGTTCTGGGAGAGGTTGTGCACCCCTTGGTGTTTCAGGAGGGGACTCTGCCTTTTCTTCCACTGATGGGTGTGTCGGTGTTTGGCGCAGTCGGTGTGATGGCATGTTGGGGGCTGTCGGTCTCGGCCATTTCCACGACCGTTCAAGGGAATGAAGAACCAATGTAAACACGGCAACGACAACAACTGCAAAACAACTACAAGTAGAACAACAATGGTACAGGTACGTACAAAACGACACCTATTAAAGCAATGACACCCTACGCTGAAAGAAGGTCAACAGCGCGGAGGTCTTGGAAGTGACAAGTCGTGCAACGAACAATTTTGGGGCATTCGTACTTTCGTACACGAAGGTCAGTTGTGAGCACGCAAACGTGCTGCAGGGATTGTAGGTGTACCTCCTTGGGCTTGTGTACCCTTTTCTTGCTAATAGTGTGCGTGTTCTTTAGATCTTCTGATGGCTTTAGCATTTTTGTGACCACGGGCCGAGTCTTTGCTAGATTTTGGGATTAGCAACTGACACGAGTTTAATGTGAAGAAAAACAACAACAACAACAACAACAACACGAAACAGGGCCCGCGGGCATCTTGTTGATATGAATCGGTTTTGCACTTCGAAGTAAATACCAGGTACAGCACGAAGATTTTCTGACTTTCATTATGTACAACACGATATGGGGCACTCCCCTACCCATCCATCAAGCCATATAGCTGGTCGCCCCGGTGGTCTAGTGGTATCCTCGTAAACCGCTAGTCGCAGAGGTCGTGAGTTCGAATCCCCATGTGGTGAAAAATTTACATAACTTGCGGGTGAAAGCGAAATATAGCTGAAAAGCTCTCGTGAGCACCAAACTTCGACGTTAGCACCGTTGACGAGGGAAAGGGACGGCTGGACCCTCCTCGCGATAAAAATAAAATTAACCACGCACCGCAGGAGGAATGAGGGGCATGAAAATAAATAAAAAGAAGAAAAAAGCCCTGGTGTTTACCCCCTCCTGTATGACCCTGAATGTTTGTAGTTGTACGAAAAAATACACTAAAAAGTGTAGTACTCTACATACGCTGAAAAGTGTAGTACACATCTCACTCACCACGATGAAAGGGGGTTAACCCCATTCGACGGGATCGACATGGTATACACACCAAAGTTCGATTGTTGGCGCGTGGGGCGTAGAGAGGGGAAAATGTGTAGAAAGCCTGCGTGAGGCAAGTTATGCCGTGCATATATGTCACAACCCAGAGATACTGAGGTAAGAATGCAGAGTTCGTGTTTTGCTCAAGAAATTTGGATTAGAAAAAGCGAGAAAAATCAGAAACGCCGGACACAAGAAATATCAAAACCATAATGCAACCTATGAACCGAGCCATTGACTTCCTCTCGGACTCAATAATAGGAAGCATCACTTATCGGGCCAACCCGACATCTATGTCCAGGTCATATCCCATTGCTCGGCCCGATGTTCGGCGCTCTTGTCCACGCTATTTCCTCCCTTCAATTAGACGCTAGTGCGCGCGATAAATAATTTGCGCCCTCGCCTCCGGCCCTAACGTACGTCATCATGAAGGCTCATGACTTCCACCTCCCTGCCCTCTGAATCTGAAACAACCGATGCACTCTGCTTTGCTAGTTGCGTCGCACCACCTATCCTCCCTGAATGCAGCGCGAAGTGCGTTGGGATTTCTCCTACTCTTCTCGCCATGTCTCTCAGCGCTGTTGTTGCTTCCGACCTCGACACTACTGCCCACCGTCCCTGCTTGACCGACTTCATGAGCGGCGCGCTACTTCCTAACTCTGGGTGCACGTCAAGCAGATTCAGCAAAATCTCTAGCGCCCCGATCTTCTCGGCCATCAGTTCCTCTTCCTCGTCCCGCAGTACTCTCTCTCTCGACACTACCGCACCTCGGCTATTTTGGTCCGCTTTCAATGCGCGAAAGGGCACTTCTACTCCGTCTGCCCGCCTTCTTTCGTCCTACTCTAGCCGACACACTCCCTCGAAGAATACGAGGTCCCCTCTCGTGAGACAACAACCGGGGTGTACTTAGCCATTGTGGTAAGCCCACAGCTCAGACGCTCGGCACAGCAAGAAATACGAGAGAGCGATCCCCATCCACGTCACTAGTCTGAAAGCATCCGTCTGCGCTCTTTCTGCCCCCCCTATAATCATCGGCACGGTGAGCGGTTGCCTTACCAACGGTTTCGTCTCTGCCCTCGCATGCAGTCTGTCTATTGCGTTACCAACAGCTACCACTCTGAAGGGCGATGTGGGCAGCTCCTAGCCTGCGTACAGTTTATGGAAGTATTTGATCGTCGCGAGGTACCCCTTCACCGCTTGGCTCTGGTTCGTGTACGCTAAACACCTCGACCCCATAAACACAGTCAGCTTTCTTACTGTCCTATCCACACTGTCCTCCTCATACAACCATGGACTCAAATTTGCTTTAGCTCTTTCAGCTGTCCACGTGTCCCACTTGCTGCGGTATCCTTTCAGCGTGCTCGCGTTCAGGGAGCCGTGCTCCATGATTTTTAGGAGCTTTTCGCCTCCATCGCTCGTTCCTTTCGTCACGTGTTCGCTTCCTGTTCTTGAACACGTTAAGGTCACGACACCTTCTTTAGTTCTTTCGCTCAGCATTCTCTTCTTTCTCTTATCACTTCTTCTCTTTACACGCTTGACATGCGGCTCCATGCGAGGCCATCCATTCTTTGGTTCGGGAGTTTCTCTTGTAGTGTCATTTCAATTAGTTATCTTCCGGTGTCTCCGATGTCTTGCATTCGCCAGTTATTATCATGCGTGAGTCTTTCCACGTTGACTTCTACGTCCTCTGACTTCCATCTAGATATCCCGTCCGCGAGGGTGTGCTCGCGTCCCGGGATGTGTTTCGCCACGTGACACCATCCGTTTTCGATTTCCGTACGACCAAGCAGTCTCATGAACGGTCCGCTCACCTGTCTCTCGAGCCCCCGCATCTGTTCACCCATGATAGCGCTGACACATTGTCTCCTCTCATCATGATAGCTTATCCGGGTTGCGTCGGCTTTTCTCCCACGACCATTTGGACCACCCAGCATGTTTTTATCATTCCGAGCAATTCTAGCATGTTGCTCGTGATTGCGCTGGTTCTTTGGCTTCTCTTTCCTTTTCAGCTCAGCGATGAACGCGGGTTTAAATCGATACCGCCAGAGCACTTTTAGTTCGGGACAGTGTCCGCCTACTGCGTCGAAGCTAGCACCCAATAGGTAGTGACGGAAAGGCGTGCGTCGGACGTGGTTAAAGAAAAACGCGCTAAGTGACTCTCCTTTCTCCGCGAGTTTAACTTCCAGCGCCCATCTCCAGAAGTCTAGGTCTCCGTGGAACTCCCAACCGAGACGTACCTGCCGCTTCTGTCTCGACTGTCTGTTAGTCTTGTCGTGTAGGCCGGTGAGGCGTAAGAGGTTCAACACGAAATATTTCCTGCTCTCGTGACGTGCGCCACGTTCGAGAGTTTTCCTGCCATACTCAGGACCTCTTGCACACTGGCGGATTCTCTGGTCTTTGGCCAATCGTTCTCTAGCGCGGTTCTGATCGCATCGATCCTGTCGCGTGTTGTCGCGATCGTCATTTTATGGGTATCTATCGTGTGTCCGAGAAAGTCCACTTTCGTATTCCAGTCTGTGCTTTCGTTCGGAGCGAGAATGGGCGTTCGGCCCGCCTCTGCTGGCGCGAAGAGTCTCACACAGTCAGACGCTATTGACGCGGAGGCTACCAGCGCTGACGCGTCGTCTGGCGCATGTTGTACTTTCTGTAAAGCGAAATCGTCTACGTACACCCCGCACGAGAAATCATCGTGCGGTCCGCCTCCGTCATGCGGTTTCACGTTGACATCTCGGGGCACTCGGGCGGGTGGTCCGTCTTCCCACGACTCGAGTTTTCTTACGTGTGACATCATTTCGATCCCTTCGTCTTCTAGTTGTACGTTGTGCACGTTGGTGTTGCGGTGTGAATGTTCAGCAGCGGACGCCATGACTTCCCAAAAACCGGGCGAACCTGCCCAGCCAACGTCAGTCTGAAGTCGGCGACTAGTACGTCTCCTATCACATAGCAGATTTTTTGTGCATCGTCTGGCGCGACTCTCACGTTTCGGTAAGCGTTGTTCACGTCAGCCGTGGACGCTAGTGTCCTCTTGTCAGGCCATATGACTCTCAAGCGTGTTATTTCAGAAAGGAAAGCAGGTAGAGTCTCTCCGCACAAACAGTCGGGTACTTCTTCTGTTACCGTATCCACGTTGACTCCTCCCTTCTGCCCGCGCAGTAGTTTGGGGTCAAAAGAAAAGTCATTGATGATTCTGATTTTTTAGCCTACCACAGCTCCTAGCGGCGATACACGAACGCCTTTCATGCGAGCTGCGTCCGCTACGTTAAATACGAGGCATCTGTTCTGTTCGACGTCGTCTATCAGCTTCTTCCACACCAGTTCCGTGTGGGCGTCTATCGTACTGTGATTTCCGTATCGGAGAGCGCTCTCGAGGTTAGGCGAGTTGTCGTGCGTTTCGCTGGCACACCGTTGTCTACGATGTCGATGAGATTCGAAGTCTGGGAAGTGTTTTTTGGTTCCGAAGTGTTGTTCGAGGTCGCTCAGGTTTAGCGGAGGTGACACCAAGGTGCCGCCGATTGCCCTCGTGACGTCTCCCAACTTTCCGTCGTTCGTTTCAGAAGCATGCTACCAGTCTTCGCAAGTTCGTGAGAGATTTCCTGTTTTTCATCAAGTCGTGTACCACGTGCTAGGCATTCCGTTTGTTCTCGCCACATTTCAGCCAGTAGCTTCCCATAAGGAGGTGGCAAGGCTGCCGACCCGTCACTATCCGTGTCTGTTTCCCTCTTGCTGTATTGTAGGGGTCTTTGTCTCCAATAGATGTATTGGGTCTAGCACTCTTGCGATCTTCTCCCTGGTGCGAGGGGTCTGCTTCTCCCGTATTACGGGGGTCTTCTCCAGTTTTTCCGCACTGGATATTTCTCTGTCTTTGTCTCCAATGCACGTATTGGGTTTAGCACTCTTGCGATCTTCTCCCTGGTGCGAGGGGTCTGCTTCTCCCTTATCACGGGGGCCTTCTCTAGAGTTCACACTAGGTCTTTCTCTGTCTTTGTCTCCTATGTATGTATTGGGTCTAGCACTCTTGCGACCTTGTCCCTGGTG